TGCGGGGGCGAGGGCAGGCAGACCGACCCCCCCCGCCCCCCCAGCGAGGGCTGCCCTCCTCCCCGAGAAGCGGTGCCCGGCGGAGGGCAGGCCGCGGGGAGCAGGGCCGGGCCCGGCGGGAACGCCATCGTTCAGGGCGGTGTCGGGGATCCCCTCCCCTACCACCACCACCACCCCCCCGGGCGGGAGGGTGTTGGTAAGCCGAAGGAGCGAGGGGACCTCTCCCGGGGCAGAGGGAGAAGGAGGGGAGCGCCGGAGAAGGGGTTTGGCGGTGCTCCCTGCGCCCCGCAGATCGGCCGGCCCTGTCAGCGAAACGGTGTTTCTGGGGCTGGTGGCTGCACCGAGGCAGGATTGCTTGTTTCTGCAGGCTTTTCGAGCTTTCGGAAGGCTGAACGTGTTGGATCTACCTGGCACTCCTGGAAAAAAAAAGCAACTTTGGCCCTGAAATAGCAGGCTTAAAACACGGGCCACTTCCCTCAGCTCTTTTTGGCTGCCGGGGTACCTACTGCACCCGGGGGTCAATCATTCCGCGTTAAAATATCTGCGCTGACCCTCCGTTAGCTTGCGGTTCCTCTCGGTGGGGCGAGCAGAGTTAAGATTGTTGCTGCTGGGAGCAGGAGCTCCCATCTCCCTTCCTCCTGCCTTTTTCTGCGTGGGACCCTTTTTTTGGGCTGATTCAACACACCAGCCTGACAGAAGGCTGGTGGAATTGCTCGTAGGAGGTCCTGACAAGGACCGGGGTGCTTGCGAAGGAAGGGAGACCAGACCTCTCCTGATGAGCTCAACTGCTTGTGGAAATGCAGCGCGACTCGGCCAAGTTTTATTTAGAATACTTACACGCCATTGCGGGAAACTTGCAGTTCGAGAGCTATCTTTTTGTTTTGTTTGAAGCTTGGTGAAATTCTGGTTTTGCTTTCAGCCTGCTGCTGGCTGATAAACCCAACTTCTGTGCTGAGAAGCATGCTAAATGAATTTCTCTCTGGAGTGTGGGAAAAAGCTGCTGTGGTTGTTTTTGCGTTTTATGGTTTGATTTGTTTTGCCATTCTTCTTCCTAATGATAAAACTGTGCAAGTTGCTCTTTCTGATGGGTGACATCTGCTGGGTTTCTACCCAGAAAGTTTATGTAGCCCAGGTGAAGGAAGGAACCGCTGTGCCATTTGGTCCGTGTGCTATGAGCGGGGAATTCCAGGGCCGTCCAAACCTGGATCAGAAGTTACACAGAGAAATTCCCAATGGAGAGGTTGAAATGTTGCTGTAGTTCCTCACACAAATACCAAGTCGCTAATACAAAGGGATGTTTCAATCCACAGGCAACTTACGCTCTGAAATGAGTGTCCTAAAGAAGACAGAAGTTCAGCTGTCCCAAGCAGGCATACAAGTTTTCAGTATTTTTGGTTTGGTGTTACTGGTGTTGTAAGAGGGGGAAAAAAAACCTCGTAGACTTGCCTGTTTCTTTTTTTAAAATCCGAGGTTTTTAATGATGTCATATAATGGTTTTGAAATTCAGTTATATTTGTAAAGCATAATTATTTGATTGGATAAGTGGGGTTGGAATGCAACAGGACAGTTTTATTTGGATCATGAAACCTTTTTGTGTATGTTTTCTGTATTTTTAGGAGCATGAAAGTCTTCAATGTTTGTCCTGCAATTTTGATGGAACGTGTTGTAGTAAGCATTTTCTGCAGTGGTTTGCTGTCCTCGCTGTCAGGCATGCAAAGCTGCTTTTCCAGCTCCCTAACTAAGAAGTAAAATCCTACCCGGTAAAAGAGATGGAGCAAATACTTTCTGCACTGTGAATTTCCATTTACTAAAAGATGGAGAACTGTCATTTTAGTTTTGTAGTTATTATCCTCTTAACACATGAGCAAAACTGATCTTTGTGCTGCTACTGTGGCTAAAAGCTGTGAGTACAAGTTGGAAAGAGAGAGCTATTCATAAAGAGGAAGACTCAAGAGTATAGGGGCAAAATCATTGTCTTCCTGTCATCCTGTTCTTTTTAGCAGAAGGAAGAGGGCGGAAGAGAAACTTTAACTTTGTGCTGAATAGCTCAACAATAACACGTTCGCTTGGTTATTTAAAAATATTGCAGGAGCAAGAGAAAAGCTGACTTTTTAGGTGAGTGGTGACTCAGCTTTGGCTTTGCAGGTAGAGCAAAGAGCCACATCACCTATTCTGTAGCTGAAGCAATTCTGAAGCTGGTCTGTTTCAGTGACCTTCTTAGAGTAGTGGGGCATGGGGTTTGAAAGTGTAAGCTTTGGATGAGTTGAGCAAGTAGAGAGTAATCGAGTCTTAGCAGGGCGTATCGGCTGGGTATCCTTTGTGAAAATCCAGTTTCTGCATATTGCATCAGTGAGGAAAGATGCAAGTCTTGAACTGTTATTATGAGTACATGAGTTATTTTCATTCAGAGTCCTTGCTGGGTTTGGCAAGCATTCTTTTCCAGGATTTCTCCTGGAGTCCAAAAATGGTTCTGCCTGAACAATGAGGCGTTCTTATGCCTGCCATCTGGTGGCCAGATACCACAGGTAACTGGACCGGCTGCAAAAAACCAGCTGAGGCTCTGTCTTAAGGATACGGGAGAAAAAAGTAGATCTTTTTCTCACTGAGCTGTGTCTCAGATGGAGGTCGGTTTTTGCATGGTTTTCCTGGAGGAGAAATAAATTTTGTAAGTTCCATTACCATCTTTCTTCTCTTTCCTAGGATATGATGGAGCTCCTAGAGGAAGATCTCACCTGTCCTATTTGCTGTAGCCTGTTTGATGATCCTCGTGTCCTGCCCTGTTCACACAACTTCTGCAGAAAGTGTCTGGAAGGAATCCTTGAGGGAAACGTGAGGAATGTGCTTTGGAGGCCATCCCCTTTCAAGTGCCCCACGTGCAGGAAGGAAACTCCCGTTACTGGAGTCAACAGCTTGCAAGTCAACTATTCCCTGAAAGGTATCGTGGAGAAGTATAACAAAATCAAAGTAACTCCGAAAATGCCTGTGTGCAAAGTTCACAGCGGGCAACCCCTTAACATTTTTTGCCGGACAGACATGCAGCTGATCTGTGGGGTATGTGCCACCCGTGGTGACCACACAAAGCATGTTTTCTGTTCTATTGAAGAAGCTTATTCCCAGGAGAAGCGGGCTTTTGAAACCCTGTTTCAGGGCTTTGAAACTTGGCGTTGTGGAGATGCCCTCTCGCGACTGGATACTTTAGAAACCAGTAAGAGGAAAGCTCTGCAGATGCTGACCAAAGATTCTGACAAAGTGAAGGAGTTCTTTGAGAAGCTGCAGCACACACTGGAGCAGAAACGAAATGAGATTCTCTCTGACTTTGAGACCATGAAGCTTGCAGTGATGCAGGCCTATGACCCAGAAATCAATAAACTGAAAACAATTCTGCAAGAGCAACGGATGGCTTTTAACATCGCGGAGGCCTTCAAAGATGTGTCTGAACCCATTATATTTCTGCAACAGATGCAGGAGTTCAGGGAAAAAATCAAGGTGCTCAAAGAAACCCCTTTACCTTGTTCCAGTGTGGACATCAGCCCTACAATGAAGAGCTTTGATACCAGCCAGTGGAATGGAATAAAACTAGTTGATGTGGACAAACTTTCCTTGCCTCAGGAAAACAACACTCTTAAATTCAAGATTCCCTCGGTCTTTTCACGCAGATTTATAGTGAACTCTCTTATTTGCTTGCTTATTCTTGCTGTCACCAGAATGTCCTTCGTGGAGTCAGTCGTTGACAATCTCCAGTGCTGGAAATCTCAATTCTTTACAATTAGCTTGTCCTATTTGGCAGATACAGTGGAGATAGCAGATCATGCAGTCTTTTACTGGGAACAGATGACAGATGGAGCTTTACTTCTAAGAGAAAAGTGTAAAAACTATACGTTGGTTGTACTGGATAATGTTGCACAGTTTGTGTGCAAATATAAACTGTTGTGAAGTCCCTGCTGAAATATAAGAACTAAGAGAGATCTGGTGAAGAAAACATAGAACTTCTTAAAATTAATTGGTTTTTTAAGAGTTCCAGTGAAAACATTCAAAGATTCGAAATGTTTCCAAAACATTCATACTGTTCACATAGTTTCAGCACTGATAAACTGGAAGATGAAATGGAGCTTTGAAAAACACATTGTTTCTGGATTCTTCTTTCAGTGGTGATTATGTGAATATTATTCACTGTAAATAATTTTTCTTACCAAAATATAGGGCCAAACTGTGTACTTAGTTTAGTGTTAATGTAATTGTAGAATAAGATAAAAAGTGTCACTTCCTAAAAGGTCATAGTTAAAAAAAAAAGTTATTTTTAACTGGGAGGTGGTTAGGAAAGAGGAAGAACAGTTGTGGTTGAGAAGAGCACTGTCCTGAAAGGCTTGTTGATACAAAATACAGAGTGCATCATTCACATTCTGGAACCACTTTCTATCTGAGGACGTTACTTCTCACTGAAATAGATGTATGTATTTTTTTGCATAACCAAATATTGTAATTATCCTGTGCATTCAGATTACTGTAGATACTGGATATTGTTTACATGTTCTGTGCAAAAATACATCTTCAGGGCAAGCATAAATTCTAGGGGTAAAGAGAAATCAGTTGAGGTTGGAAACAGAAGAACAAGTGGCAAGATAGTACGTACTACTTTGCAGATAGTACATATTTTGCCGTTTACTTTTCCAGCATCAAATCGTTGGGTAACTGAGCTGTCTTGTTAGATCCATGTTGTTCTGAAGCCACACTTCCTTAAAAAGTGGCCTTAATGTAAACAGTTCAGTGCGGTGAAAGGCACGCACGGGTCAGCAGCAGGAAGGCAGCTTGCGCTCTAGCCCTGCAAAGGTGGCAGGCAGAGCAGTTTCTCTCCTTTCCCTCTGTGTCTCTCCAGATCGTGTTCCAAAAGCCAGGAAAAGTGCTGGGATGATTCCTTGGAAGAGAGCGCGTAACGTGGCGGGAGTATGGATGTTGTTGGTGTTTGGAAGTGCTTTAGTGTTGGAACATATATAGGCTCTTCTACTGTTACTGTATTTTTGTGTACCTTGTTTCAGGAATTAATTGAATTTTCTGAGTGTATTGACTTGGCTGTAGGATAACTGATTTAAAGCAAACTGTAAGCTTGAGTTTTCTGAAGTGCCCTTCTTTAAGAGCATACGGTACTGAAATATGTTGCTTGAAGCTCATCTAACCTCTTTTTGCAGTGGTCCTATGAACAGCAATATATAGAATGAAAACATTTAGTTGACATTTCCGGGAAACAAACGTAATGCATGCCTGTTGTCATATTTTGGGGATATTCGTTGGCCTCTCTCAAGGTTTGGTAAGTTGTGACAGTCAATTTACTGTCTTCCAGTAGTCCTTGCAAGCTGTTCATTTAAAAAATAAAACATTAAATTCCAAGAATCAAAGTTTCCAAGCAACCAAGCCCTGCAAACAAAACCATTGTACATGATATTTACATCTTTGTTGCCTGGGAGTCCTGTCGCTGCTCCACACCTCACTCCAAACACTTGCTGAAAGCACTGAATGGTTCTTGCAGCTGCAGATGCCTTGCAGTTTAGGAAGGATCAAGTCACAAACACGTAGATCAGAGACTTACAGTTCTTGAGTGGCTGAGATAGCAATGAGTAATCAAGAGGTGGTCATTCTGAGCGTGGGAGGTGTGAGATTTGTAACCCGGGCTTCTACCTTGCAGCAGTTCCCCGAGTCCAGGTTAGCACGGATGTTGAACAGCGATGACCCGGAATTTAAACTGGTGAATGGAGAGTTTTTTGTGGACAGAGATGGAACTTTGTTTAGGTACATCATGGACTTCTTGAGGACTCTCCAGGTCTCCTTACCTACTGATTTCTCAGACTATCAGAGGCTGCAGAGAGAAGCAGAATTCTATGGACTCTACCCTCTGGCCGACCTCCTGAGCCAGGAACACTTGCTGAAGCCGAGGCTGGAGATCTTGGAAGTGCGTTTTTCTCTCCAAGAGATGCAGGCCTTATTCCAGATCTTTGGTTCCTGCAGTACCACTGTTGAGACACTAGCTGAACAGATCACTGTGTTTACAGGGCAGCAGTCAGGACAGAGCTGGAACAGCCCTTTTCCTTCTCAGAAACCACTTGTTCCACTTCCTTTGGAAAGGCCTTCTCATCACAACATGGTGTTTCAGTGCGGTTATGACTACTCTGCTGGTGACCAGTTTGTGGCCAGGTACTCTCCCTAGTGTGACTTCTCATTATGGAAATGTCTTCGTGACTTCTAGTCCCTGAAGTACATGCTATGTGCTAGCAAAGCTCATTTTAAAGAAACTATCGGACAGCTCTCTGAGAGAAAAGAAACATGTTTCCTTCTTTCTGCTAGTTTAATGTTATCTTTTTCTAGTTCTGGAATACCCAGTTTAATTTCTGTTACGCTGATTTGCCCGTTCTTCAGCTTCCTAAAATACTGTTCTCGGTGTTTGTTTTTGAGTTCTGTTGGGTCTTTCTCTCTCTCTGCCCTTTCCTCCTCACTCTCTCTCCCAGGCTTTAGAACTTCGCGGCATCAGTGACCTTCTAGAGGACTTGAAAAACACAGGGTAAAATGAAGGAGAGAAAACAAAACAAATAAGGAGCGAAGTAGTGGGGAAGCCTTTAATCTCCACTAGCTCATGGTCCAAAAGACTTTCATGTGGAAAGGAAGAAAAAGAGAATGGCTAAACAGAGTTAAAAACACCAGTGGAACTAAGATAGCAATTCAGGGACTGGAAAGCTTTTGTAGAGCCTTTTATTGGGGGAAGGGAGAAGGAGTAGATTATTAACTATATGCTACACAGTGGGTGTTCTTGGAATTCAGAGCCAGGTTCTGTTTTTTATTAAGATTACTGTGTATCAGTGATTTTTGTGATAGCAGTATCGTATTCTAATGACAACTTACATTTTTTAATCAAGCTTTTGCTGGATGTCTCTATTGTATGGAGACAGGTTCTTGCTATATAAGAAAATGTAACCTAATTTGTCCTCTGTGGCTGTTAGAACATGTGGAATTTTATGGAAATTTCATTGAAATATTCCCCAAAGGGTTATTCTATCTGAATATATGAATCAACACAGCAGTCTTTTGATTATTTAAAAAAAATGATGAATGAAGTTTATCTTTCTTCTAGCTTTCTTTAGCTAAGCAAGTAGAAGAAAAAACACTTCGCATTTGCGAAGCAATATGTATTTATATGCCAAACCTTAACTCTATAATGTATTGCTAATTTTTATTGAGCTAACAATTGCTTGAGTAGGTTGTGGCAACTTAAGTAGTGGGGAAGATATTCCCAGTTCTTTCCTTTATTTCTTCAGACTTGGTAAAAATGTTCCTCTGCAGATCAGTAGAAACCCTTATCCTGAGTAATGAAACAAGTCACGTTTGATGATGCTGCCTGTTGAATTTCTATCAACTTTTAGTCTTTGTGGTGACGTGGACTCTTTCACCTTTTTTTGTGCTTTCCGTGAATGTTTGCTGTACTTTCCTGTGAACTGTGGAACGGTTTCACCCCTGTCAGCTTATGTATTTTGTAATAGTATTTTTACCTGACTTCTGTTCCTTGAAATGTCTGGATAGATTCTTAAACTGTACTTTATATCAAGTAAAATCATCTGAGGCAATGTGAAAACGATTTTCGTACTTGTTACCACAAGACCTGCTGTACCAGGTAACTTTGCAATAAACGTCACTGTTCGTAGAGAGAGATCCCATGGAATGAAAAGTGATGCTGTTGGGGTGAATGTGACGTCCCTGTCCTTGCCATCGTTTACTCTTACGTTGCAGCATTATACGGAGCATGCCATTCACCTCTCCTCCATTAAATGATGTGAGATAAAGGTCATCACAGCTATTTCTTAAGAAAATAAGTTTTGGTGTGAGGGTGAAAGAGAAGCGCTTCTTCCCCAACCTGTAACTGGGTGAACTGAGAATTACTGTTCTTAGAATGAGGGAAAGGGTTGAATTGTCCTCAAAGGAGGAAAAAAATAGCCAGAACCTCGGTTGCTGTAAACCTGTGCAACTGTGCTGACCTGCACTGTCTGAGGACCTGGTTTGTTTTACAAAGAAATTGATTCCATCCTTCAGGAAGTGAAGTCTGTTGTAACTGCTTTTTTCTGATTTTAGGTATGTTTCCATAAAGCCTGACAATAGAAAGCTGATTAACGGTACTAATGTGCTAGGCCTGCTGCTTGACACTTTGCTCAAAGATGGATTTCGCCTCATAAGCACCAGGACAGTCTCCGCTGAAGAAAAAGTCGAATGCTACAGTTTTGAAAGGATGCAGAGGCCAGCAGGCCCTGCTGTCACGGTGAACCCAACCCCAGGGAGCTCTGGGGTAGCACAGGCAAGGAGAAACCAAGTGCAGAAAGGGAAATAAAGGCTTTTCCTTTCCTCTTTTGAAGGTGGAAGAGGGGTGTGTCAGCGGTAGTGGCCTTTTTTTTGTTGGCTTGTTTGAAACTGCAACTATTGAGGGAAGTGACAAACAAACAGATTTTTTTTTTTTCACGTATTCGGAAAAAAAAAATTGCTTTCCTGCCTTTTACCACTCCACCCTCTTCAACTCTAAATAAAAGTGACCCACAGGTTCACTACTGGTTTTGTGGACCAGATACCAGCATTTTCAAGGGTCGTTTTTGGTTTTCACTGTGGCTAAAATTTATATTAGGACTTGCAGAAAATCAGCCATTCCTTCTAGAAAATCGTTTTAATGTTCTGTGCTAACCTGTAAGTAGATTTTACATAATGTGAAGAAATAACAGCTTGACACAACTGTCACCCCAGCAGTTTGGAGAAGTGGCTGGAGGAAGAATGCGTGCCTCAACGATTGAATATTGCTTCTGCTTTCAAAAGATACACGTACGCCGATTCTCTTGCAATTAGCTGAAAGCAACGTAACAGAAACATCCCAAGTTGTATTGCTTTATGGCTCCGGACATGAGAAAGTGGCTTTGTGAAGCCACCACTAGTGTCCACGAAATAACGTGTTACTGTCTCTTGCAGAATACTCCTCTGTC